AAAGAACTTTATATAGTGTGGTTAAAAAATATATATATATTTGGTTTAAAATCCAGATCAGTCCGAGATTCGGGCAATAAGTGTGAAGAAATAATATAGATGTTTAAATAAGAACCGTGAAATAAATAATAAAATTCAAGCCGCAATAACTATTGAACCAGCAAACCCACACAGATAAAATTATACTTGTCTGGTTTGTTTTAAAATACTCTTTAAAGTAATAACGCTCTTTTTTCTTGGTTTCTTACAAATTAATCGACATTTTTTATCTTACCAAGTAAACTGGTATGAGATTTGTTGTGTTACACAACATGCAACGATGACAGACAGAAATCTCAATGTTACGTTTTTGATATTTTTATTAAAAAGCATCAAAAACGAGAATTTTGCATAGAAACTGAGAGTCTTCTACGATACTCCAAACAATGAAAAAAAAGACGTTATCACTATAAAGAGTATGTTAAAACAAACTTGACAGATGTAATTTTATTTCTGGAGGTATTCTGATTTTTATATGTTTTTATGCCGTTCTATAGAAAATCTTTACTATATGACCTGCACTATGTCTGTAAATTGACCGATAGGCCACACCCCAGTCAGTCATGTATGACCCTTCGGTTAAATAACGGAATGAGTTTTTTCGTTGATTCAATTTTTAAATAATTCTAATATGATATATATATATATATATATATACTAAATATTAACGTCAATAAAACTAATTCCCCTAGTCCTGTGCTACAAATATGCTCCGAATTCCGAATATTTAGTACAGTAATTCCGGATTGATATAAACTGGTACTACCTGTAAATTGCCGGATACAAAACCATGCCTGTTACATTTACCAATTTTAAAACCTATAATTAAATTCGCGGGTCTCTTGTATGGGTGTGAGCCTGATACGTAGTTGGGGGTTTGTTTTATTTTATTAGTTTTTTCCTATTTATATACCCCGGGTCTTTTACATTTACTAAAACTTTATCCCATGTTATAGGCCCGGGTATAGTACATAGGGGGTCTATATCTGGGGGATCTTGTATCCGGCGTTTACGGTAGTATACTTTGGGCTGATCAAAATTTTCTATGACTACAGATAGGGCAAGTGCGCCTTCTAGAAAACTTTTAAAATGAAAAAAAATACTCAATTTGTTGAGCTCATTTTGCCATTGTTTAAACATTAATGTTATTGTTTCGCGTCATAGGAGCACTCGAACAATGAAAATATCATTTGATAAGTTAAGAATCAAGTGATCAATGCATGTAACAACGAACGGAGATCGGAAATATTGATTGCACAATTATGTACGCGCATTTATAGTTATGCCAAATAGAAAATTCTTATCATTCTATATAGAAATAAAGTTTCAGTCCGTTTCTAAATCAAGCAATTCTGTTAATATTTCTTTCATCCCGTTGTACAAATAAGTTGATTGAAAATTTCTTTGGTGAGATAAAAATAAAAAACGATGTTTAGTTTTCCAAGTATGTAAAATGGGACAGATTACAGGATTAATGAAATCACACTTTTTAATCAAAATTTAAACCATTCGTCCAATCGATATGCGGGTAAATTACATATGCATAGTTAAGGGTAGTCGCAATCTTTGCCAACCTTAGTCCATTGTTCCATTTCCATATACGCTGACAAATTAGAAAATTATAAAAACCAATACAATCCACAGATATTAGCGTTTTGGCTTGTGCACCTCCCTCTTCCTCCCGCCCTAAAAAATTTGTCAACATCTTTGCCAACTATCCTTTTTTTTTTTTTTTTGATTATAAAACCCCTATCAAAAAAAAAAAAAAAATACAACAGAACTTAAATCTGTATGCAATCAATGGCGATTCTTAACTCGAGCCGTTCAGATATGCCACGACAAGAGTCACTTCCATCGCCATTAATACAACTCTACAAATCTCGGTCAACAACTTCTCTCCCATCAAGGCTTACTGCCAGATCCCCTGGTTCACCATCTCGTTCATTCCACATTCCAAATTCCCCACTCAGCATATATCATATTCCAGAAAATGATATCGAAAATATAGAATCTAGTTCTTTCCAAACGTCACGAATAAATGAGAATGACGATAACAAAATCCATCATCATGAAAAACCTACATCAATTTTCCGGAGACGACACACTCACCGTCATTCCGTAGGCCCAATTGAACTTAAAGATACATCTTGTGCTTTCGAATGCTGCGGAAAATCTTTAGTCGATAGGTTGAATCAACTTTCTCAAGGAAATATTTATACCATTGTCAAGTGTACAAAACATAGTGATGATAGGTCAGGAAAAAAAACAACAAAATGGGGATTTTTTAAGAAGCTTTCTAATACATTTAAAAAATTGAAAAGAGGAAAGAAAGAAAAGGTGATTTGTGGAACTGGTAAATATTCAGAAACCATAACGGTTAAGAGAATAAAAGATGGAAAGAAGGTAATTTTCATGATATTCTTGGTATATCATATTTAATATTAAAAAATAAATTAAATAGTTTTTTCCTTTGCAGATGGTTGTAAAACGCGTTGATAAGGTATGTACCACTCGGATTTACCATTTATAAGACTTTTAAAAGAAAATGATAGTAATAAAATTTCCTTTATACATAATAATAATAGGAAAAATTAACACCAATGGAATATTTCACAAATGCTCACGAGACTAGTTGCACATGTAGGTCATGTCGAGGACTTTTGCAAACCGAATCAACACAACTTATACGACGCACACGATCCACTCTTACATTGTCCGCACACATAAAACCTCGATCGAATTCAGTATCATCCGATCCATCTCCTATACAACAACAGAATAAAGATATTAACTTTGCATACAGATCGGCATCATTACCAATTTCAACTTCACCCATATCTGAAAATGGTATTGTGCAAGATGTTCGTGAGTTGGTAAATTCACCTAGGACATCAGTCATAAACTATAACAACCCCCCAAATACATCCAATCCACAAACTTCCATATTGATAGGTCAAAGAGGAGAGTCTTCAAATTCACTATCAATTTCAACTTTATCATCACCTTCATTACAAGGGGTGCCATTGGAACTTAAACTTTTATCAGTGCATAGTACGGACGGTTTACCAAAACTTGTAAAATATTTTAGTGATGAGAGGTATTATTATTATATTACAAAAATGCATGGCGTTAAACAACGCAAATGGAAGAAACCAAGAAGTTGGCATTTAAAAAAGTATTGTGATGTTTATTGGGACGAATATGTTTTTTGTTGATAAAAATTTGGGCAGTCATTTTCTTTGTCAATTTGGGTAGGAAGAGTTTTACTCATATTCTGGCATCCGGAGCAACTGGCATGACTCCATCCCGTCAATTGATTTGACATGGGTATGTCTGTTCCTGTGAGTCTCCTCAATACCATGCGATCAGGCAATGCCTATTGCTATCACTATGCGCTGATAATAAAAGGAAAATGCATATTGATATATATATATATTATATGTGTGTATATTATATATATATATATTTTTGTAAATGATTTTGTAAATTAATAGATTAAGGTCTTTTATATTGTATATTAATGTTTCTATATAGCCTTTAATTGATCAAATCTAATTAATAAATCTAATGTTGAACTTACCAAAATTGATATGCAGTATCAGGTTATCAGATGATTTCGGGAAGTTCAACAAAATATTTAGGTTTGGTGGTAAACTAGTGGTAAATTGGTAAGCTCTAACGCTAATACTAGCGCAGTGGTGTTATGAATTGTTATTAATAATAAATTGGCACGCTCTGCGTAATATCAATAAACAACGTGAATTCCACATTATTGTCTTCTCGTCTTAATAAATATGTCAACACCAACTTCAACTCCATCTTTCGTGTCTCAAGAACTCACAAACATACTTTCAGAATTTGAGTATGGTATTAAACCTAATTCCGTAAAAATCTCTCAGACGACTGCAAAAAATTCAATTTTTCAACTTTGTTTGCTTGAAAACATTCAATTAACTATTAGCATTACGGATATTGGTTTTATTGTACGTGTCATATAATTAATCGAAATATCTTACACATTATTGTACGGTTATGTTGTTACTGCCATACCAAAATTTTGTACGGTTGAATTTTAAAATTCTTATTAGACAAAGTCGACAACATAATCAATTCTATCTAATAAGTATTTTAACTCAACTGTACAAAATGATCAAAAGTTGGTATAGCAGTAAGGTATGGGTGTTAAGTAATCGAATCAAATATCTGTCAGATATGTGGGCCGCGACCGCGGCCCACATACCTCCGACCAATATTTGATCCGATCACTTATCTACACTCATACCACCGTACTCACCCATCATAAAATAACTTAAATTAAAATTTTCGCGTCACTCGCATACATTCGAAACTCAACATCCGAAATTCACAATTTACTTATCATATATAGATTACGGACGCGAGCCCATATCCTACTGCTAATGAAGTCAACAATATTGATTTAGAAACTGTCAACAAATGGATTAATCACCCTTTTGAAACGATGGAAGCATTATTATTAGCCACTAGTCCCAAATTTAATGAAATTTTTCATCAAATTTTGTTTAACAAATTATTGGACTTACAATCTCAACAAGATGTTGAGGATTAACTTATGAATAAATACAATGTAATATAATAGCAATGTGTAATTTCATTTGTTTACTATGATAGCTTGTTAAAATCATCTTTTGAATTTTAACAATTTATATTTTATTATCACAAAGTGTTACTTTATTAAGCAAAAGAATTTGCAAGTCTCATCTTTTTCGTTTCAGTCCTTACAAGAAGAGTTGCGTCCTCATTTAGAATTTTGTAATTTTTGCTCTTGCTTCGGTAATCTTACTGGAGCGGTAGGCCTTGGTTTATTACGAAAGTAGGGATGAAGTAAAGCCTAAAATAATATAGACATATTGGATTCGTTGTTGGCATAAAAATGTGTGATATTGAAATATTTGTTTCTTACCTCGCGCGCTGAGATCCTTTTGTTTGGATCAAATGTTAACATCTTTTCCAATAAATCTATTGCATCATTTCCTGCCGCAGTAAAAAGTGTTTTCAATGGTGTCCTATTGTACTTTTGAAATTGGACTGACTTTGAAAGTTCAGTAAACCCCTTAAAATTATATATCAATGACATTGTTAGAATTATTATGTAAATCTATCTACAAATTTACGATATAAACATACCGGCCAATCCTCTTCCGTGGGCGTTCCTAACGCTTGAAATATCAATTCAAGTTGTCCGAGATCCGTATCTCCTGGAAGATATGGCGTTCGCAACATTAATTCTGCAAATATGCATCCCACCGACCAAATATCAACTGCGTAGCCATATTGTGCTGGTGTAAAAAATAGTTCTGGTGCTCGATACCATCTGAGTAAGATTATTTATTTGTTAAAATCTGTGAACATATTCGAATTCTATTAAAAATATATATAATAGGAAATACCTAGTAACAACTTGTGGTGACATATTTTTAATACGTGGTTCTGCAAAATCTCGCGCCAAACCGAAGTCTGCAAGTTTTAATTGTCCATCTCTACCAACAAGTAAATTGTTAGGTTTCATATCCTTAAATTTTATGCGAGATTAAACCGAATCAAGATGCAAAAATGAATATATAATTTTATTTAGATAAGTATAATATATTAACTGAGCTTACACGATGTAAAATCCAGTTTCGATGACAATGATGCAACCCACGTAAAGTCATCAACATCCAACTTTTGATATCTGCTGATATAAATACAAGACTCTTATCTTTTATAATCATTTCTAAATCTGAATCTAGATATTCCAACACAAGTTGTAAATTTGTTTGATGTGAATATATATCAATTAACTGTAAACGTATTTGATATGTAAATTGAAATTAGTAATAGTTGAGAAAAGAATAATAATAATACTCCTGTAAAGTAACAAACAAACCTCGATGATATTAGGATGCCTTAATTCTCGTAAAACTTTTACCTCTCTAACTGCGGATATTTCTATCCCTTGAAATCCTATTTCTGTTTGTACGAGTTTAATTTTTTTAATAGCGACTGCACGTCCAGTTTCACGATCTTTCCCTAAACCCAGTAAGTTTAAAAAATCAATATTGCTTTTTTAGAAATTTAAAAGAGAACGCGATATAATACCTTTGTAAACCTTCGCATAAGTTCCTTCTCCTATTTTTTTTTCTTTTGTATATTTGCTTTCGATTTGAAGCTCCTCCTCTTCGGCTAATGACATTCTTCAGAAGTGAAAGAGCACTACTGCCAAATGTTACTGTGTATGAATCTCGCGCTTGAAAGGTTACACCTACTGAACACACCTGAATTCGATATTATTGGACAATTCAGCATGGTGGACAAACCCGAATTTGGATGATCGACATTGTGGCTTAGCCAATTTAATAAAAAATTTTTTAAACTTTTTATACAGGTTAAAGTACTTTTTATTTTCGCAGTTTCTCGAAAACTACCAAATAAATCTACTCTAAAACGAAAGCAAGCAAAAAGTCTTCGAACAACCTATAGACTATTAAAATTAATCCCAAATAATCCCAATTTTCAAAAAGTTTTACTAATAACAAGTTTTTTTTTTTTTTTCGGTGTTAAGGTGACCTCTTGGCCGGGGACTTTTTATTAGATAATTAACAACGTTACAATTA